ACACATATACACATACACACCCACGGACTACATAACCTGACACACAATCATGTTCTTGAGGAGCATTACATTGGCTTAAAGTCATTTGTGTTACACACAACCAAACATATGCACACACACACACACACACACACACACACACACAGCAATCCCAATGCAATTTCTTCAGAAATGGCATAATCTAGTTCTAAAAGATACACAACTCATGTGTCAGGGTGACAGGAAAAGGGAAGACGACCTTCTATAGTGGGATATAGGCTATAGGACGGTGGTTATGTAACAGAGAGCGCTGGAGTCCAAAGGACGCTGTAAATCAACCATTTTTATCATGTTTTTATCATGTTTTTTTCATGTTTGAGTGGTTGCCAAGTTATACCCGTCTGTGACGTGTGGTCCATTAAATTTACCCTACAAGCCATTTGCTAAAGTTCATTCACTGTCTAAAATCTTAGTTAGTTGAGTCATTGCTTGCGAGCAGTCCAGGTGGGTTAAATGAGAAATCTGCAACACCAGAAACCACAGGAAATACTCCAATAATGAGACAATAAGATTCCAGGCTTTGATTAAAATTTTAAAGTGATGTTTGACTGCCTGTTTTGAATTAATTGTTCCTTGAGCTTTTCCATAAAAGAATAAATAATTAAAACATAGAAATGCCTGAGGATTCATTTTCACTTGACTCAGAAGTGAAGACACACGGTGTATTTTTAATACGGCAGCTGTGAAAATGTATTTTGTTTGTGAAATCTGAAGACCAGTAAAAGTAAATTCATATTCCTGTCTTCTCTCAGTTTGATTCCATTATAAACTATGAAATCCACTATATCTTTCTCTGGTGTCTGTAATAGAACTCTAAAACCTGTAGCTATGAGATCTGAGCAGACATGACATTTTGACACAATAATTAATGTACACTGTCAGCGCTGAATTTACTACAAATGCATAGGTGGAACAATGCTCTGCCACTTTTTCCTCCAAGTGAGGAAGTCGAATATTCTCAGTTCGAATAATCCGATTGAAGTTCAAATACTTTGTAAATGTTTGCCCTGCTCTTCATTGAGATGGTTCAAAAGCAGCATGACACATCTGGCAAGATCAGCATCCAGATGCTTGACATTGGTGATTTCCATGTCTGCTAGGATGTCCTTCTTCCCACACATTATACCTGTGAGTTATTTGAAGAGAGCTAAATCAGATATGGCCACTCTCTTAGCAGAGCAGGGCTTTCCGTTCCACTCATTATGTTGCTTCTCCCACTGTAGAAAGTTGCAACCATTTTCTCTACAGTACCCTTGGTGTCCTTGCTTCTGTTTGTGTGCGCTCAGATGGCCAGGCAGCTTCCTCTTCTTGCTGTATGAACTATTTATAAAGTCAGTGTAACGTTTGATCCTGTGGTCAGTTATAGGTGACTAATGTATTTAAACTTGCCACTGTAGGAACAGTGGAAACTTAGGCGTCACAGGTGCCCCCCAGCACTTAAACAAATAGCACTAAAATTCAATGTTTCACAGCCCTTCATGAGATTGAGACATTGTATTTATTCAGTTCTCAATTTTGTATGATTTATTGATTTGCCTGTGCACCTGTCTACCAGGTGTGTCTTAGACAACACTTAGTTTGGTTGTTGGTTTAATTTTTTAATAATTTCATTAACCTGTGGAGAAATACCACTAATGTAATATATCTGGAAATGGATTTTGTTTGACACTGGACATGATTTATACCCCATGTCAGCATATGGTGGCACTGCAGGAAGAAGTCCACTCTGGGGAGGTCAGGGTGATGGGAATGCAGTTTATCCAACTTTAATGTGGGAGATCAGAGTTTGTGCCTTTTTAAACCATAACCACAGTCTTCCCTTAATTTTTTAAGTGCTGTCATTAAACATAAAAAGGGCTTAAACACGTATTTTCACAGCAATGTATAGGCTGCATTTTTTTTTCAGTCCTCAGTATAATGGGAGTTTTGTGACTGCAGTCACTGACTTATCGCGCAGTCACGCGTCCCACCCACAGCCCACAGTCTGTTCTGTATAAATGAGACGTGCACAACTTCTACCTTCACGCAGAACCAGTCCCGGGGTTTCACTTCCGTCGGGACTTTTAGTAGTTTTATTTGTTCGTGTTGTTTTTGCCTCTCTTTAACTCTTTTTTTTCTCCAACACTCCAACAGAGTGTGTGTGAGCTTCAGTCACTGCGGGAGGAAGATCAGGTAAATAAGAATATGGCTGTGATAGACGCTATAACTGTTATGTAGCTTATTCTGACATGATCTGATGTTATTTCACAGCAGCTAGTGCCCTGTTTAAAGTTAAAGGCGTGTGCAGGTTGATTTCCGGGTGTCCCAGTCGACCACCATCATGAACTCAGCTGTGCACGTTTCACTGAAAACGTTTAAGGCCGATTTTGCTTTGAAATGCGTTAAAACAAGTGGCGAATTAAATCTTCATCTGTGTACACACCATCCAATATAACGGAACTGAAATTAATGAATGTCAAGGACTTTCGATGTAGCATTACAATGACTAGAAGATCCGTGTGACCAGAGTGTCATCAGGCTTCATGTGCATACATTTTCCTTTTTTTCCTATGGTAGAGTGATGCACATGAAGGTTTTGCAGGTAGTGAAAGAAAATAAACCAAAAAACAAAACAAATGTTATTACAGAGCTTTTTAAATTCGACATTTTGCCCTTTAGATAGTAAACCCGCAAGAATCATGGAGAGAGCAAAGGGGAAGACACTTAACTTAAGTCAGTAATCAGAGCAGTAGCGTAAGTTAGTAACTACGGGCCCCAGTGCAGGCTATTATGACGGGCCCTTGGGCTCCTCGGTTACAAAGGCACACTCATATGCACACACTTACATATGCCCACAAAATTAGGCATATATATAAAGTACCAACCATGTGTTTGACTTTACAGTCGGGAAGCGTTACCTAGACTATTGTGTTTGCAAAGTACAGAAGTCAAAGAGAAAGTTATCAGAACCATGGATAGTGCTGTGACAGTTAATATTCTGAAAGTGACAACAAGCACCTGAGTGCAGGGGAGCTGTCCATTTCACTGTGGTGCTGAAATGACCTCAGATTTTTTCGGGCATTTTTAGTACAATAACCTCACGAATCAGGCAACCGCATTCCTCTTCGACATAGAGGCAAGAGATTATAGTAAATAAGACAGAACTGCAATAGCCTACTTATCAACATACAATACCATGTCCCGAAAACTGGCCAGCTACAGCGGCACGCACACAGTTTACCGACAGAAGATGATTATTTAGACTGATGTTAGCTAGTTTGCTTCTAAAGTTACCTGCAGCATGTTTGTTGACACACCACTGGAGGCTTGCCATCTTGTCACATGATCAAATAGAGACTTAAGATTGGGCAACAATATGCACATATTTCCCAGCAATTATCATTGCATCTGTATGTGACATGAATACCAAAGACAATAAGAAAACATTCATTTGATTGAATCGTTTTTAATAGTTCCTTCATAGGTTTTATAGGTGTATATGTAGAGTAAGCCTATATACTTTGCGTGCTACTGACTCTTTTCAGTAAAATTACTGACACCATGACCAAGGTGGATGTGCACATTTGAGAGTATATATACCAAATCTAATTCAAATTTTCAAGATTGATTTTAGTGTCTATACCTTCACCCCTACATCAGAGTTAAACAACAGTTATTGAAGCATAGGTCACTAGGCAACTGAGACACCCCTAAAATATGAAGATTAAGCCACAATTTAAACTCCTATATCATTAAAGTAAAAGGAGTGTAAGTAACATGAACAGCATTTAGACCTTGAATTTACTTCATATTCAATATTGCGATGAGGTTCTCTGAAATGTATGGAATTGAAATGTATGGAATTTCACCTGGCTTTTATTCATCGCAGAAAGAGCGAACATCGTCAGCCATGGCCGCCATCAGCAGCTCAAACACAGTTTTCGCCTTGGAGCTGCTCCGTACTCTGAGCCAAGCGGACCCCACTGGGAATATCTTCGTCTCTCCGCTGAGCATCAGCTCAGCTCTGGCCATGGTCTACCTGGGAGCTAGAGGAGACACTGCTGCTCAGATGGCACAGGTAAAACTGTGACTCTCTATCACATGCGCCTCCTCCATGACACCACGTCATCCCCATGTAAGCTCTAGCCCAGCTGTTAAAAAAGAGGTAATAGGCATTATGAAATTCAGTTCAAGTTCAAGGGATCACGCCCAGGTGTGTATCTAGGCGCAGACTGAAAGGTGTGTCAGGAGACAGGTGTAGCCTTCTGACGACTGTACTTTGGCCTCCATAAACACTTCTGAAACAGTATATGTAGTGTTCTCTAAAAGGCAGAACACTGTCAAGTCTGGCAGTGCTACATTCAGTTGTGGTTTCACTTAATGAAACATGTTTGTCTTTTCTTTTTTTTATTTTGATTAATGACTTCTGTGTTGTAAATGTGCCATATTTATCCAAATGGTGAATTTTCATCTGCTTTGCCGCAGTAGGTTAACGATTAATGAATGAATAAACAAAATACATCAACAAGAAATATGCATATATGTCCAAAAGTCTGTGAACACATCAACATTACACCTTCCTGTGATTGTTATAAACCATGGACATTTCTCATGAATGAGGTCTAACGCTGATAATGTGGTGATGAGGTCTGGCTTCCAGTTGGCGTTCCAGTTCATCCCAAAGATGCTGGATGGGTTTGAGATCAGGGGACATATTACAGAAATCCTTTCCTAAGCCCTAAGATAGGAGGAGTATAAAGATAGGATATGATTTTTCCCAATCTGGTGTTACAGAAGCAAATCCTAACTGACTTTCCTATCTTACGTCATCCTACCTTATCTCAGGCAAGAAATCCTAAATATTCAATCCAACATTGGTTATCAACTTTTATGTCTGTTACCTAGTAACCAATGCTACTTTTCTCTTCTTATCTTGCTTAGCTTTGTTTAGATTTCTCATTGAAATGTACAAAAGAAAAGGAACAAAAACAGTGATGGACACTTAACTGCCAGACAGATGAGTTAGAAGTGTTGCTAACATCTGTAGAAAAATCCAAAGATGTTCTTTTTGAGATGAGAGAGAGTGAGCTAAGATGAGCTAAGCATTTTGTCATCAAACTGCAACACATCGTTGGGGTCTGTCATGAGCAAGTTGTGGACTTTTCGTTGGTTGTGTAAAAGCAATAAAAGAACAGCATTATGGATTTAACATGTTAGCTAAGTGATGGAAAAGTGAAACTTATAGGAAAAGTTAATGGTTTTCCTAAAGTTCCAAGAGTTTATTTAAGATTTTGGGACCTATTTGAAGTTAGGATAAGAACATTGACTCAGGAACTATTCATCTGTAATGGCTTTTTTTTCCTAAAACAGCTCCTAACCCTAATTACCATGGTTACCAGACAGCTCAGACAGGGTCTGCAAGTTAGGGAGTTTGTGTGATGCGGCCCCAGGTCTCCGAGCAGGCCAGTCAAGTTCTTCCACACCACTCTGAGAAAACCGTTTCTTTATGTCAAAACAAACTGCTGCCACAAATTGGAAGCACACTATTGTCAGACGGTTGATTCAACAACTTTAAGGCAGTTATGAAATATGTCACCACTGCTATTTGTCCAATAACTAAAAAAAGTAGCACAAGGTCAAGTGTAGTGTATCAGTCATTTTCCACCACCTGCAACGCTTTGGTCACTTTGGTCTTTTTATGCCTCTGCGCCGACGACAGTCAGAGCACAGCAATTATGACAGAATTTCACACAAGTGGTTAATATTAATGATTCTGGATAAACAGGGGTGTAATCTGAAACTAGTCTGAGTGGCGGAGGCAGACAACCGTGAGGTGGTAATTTTAGTTTTTTAATGTTGTGTGTCACAAACTTCCACACAGGCCCTGTCATTCAGCTCAGGTGAAGGAGTCCACGCAGACTTCCAGACCCTAATCGCTGACATCAACTCACCATCTGCATCCTACATCCTGAAAACAGCCAACCGTCTTTATGGAGAGAATACGGCCAACTTCCTCACAGTGAGTTTTCACATATTGCAGAAGACGCAGATATTTTGACTGAATCAATAACTTCATAAGACTGAACTGACTAGACGTCGTCTCTTCTCTGCAGCAATTCCTTGCAGCCACACAGAAGCACTACCAGGCCGACCTGAAGGCGGTCGACTTCATCGGTTCTCCAGAGGCGTGCAGAGGGGAGATCAACAGCTGGGTCGAGCAGCAGACAGAAAGTGAGAATCTACATCTTAATTGAAACCATACAATTCACTCCTACAGCTTGCGCAGCAATAAATCATTCCATACTGCCTTCTGTGAGTCAGTGTTCAGTGGTTGGTTGCATTGTCTGTTTCATTCCAGATAAGATTAAAGATCTTCTGAAGCCGGGAACAGTCAGCACAATGACACGACTGGCTCTGGTCAACGCTATCTACTTCAAAGGAAACTGGATGAATCGCTTTGATGAAGCAAACACCAAAGAGATGCCCTTTAAAGTCAACCAGGTGAAAACTAAGCGCACATTTAAATACAGAAAACATTGTTTGACTTGAGCAGACGTGTGCAGGAGCTGATCTGATAATAAACTAAAGATGGGTTAGGGTTAAGGTTAGTTACTTTTTTCTTTTAGCTTGATCCAATCGTCTTGAATATCTGTGTTTCCTGTGTGTCAGAATGAAACCAAGCCGGTCATGATGATGTACCAGATGAAGAAGCTTCCCTACAACTACATCCCAGACCACAGTGTGCAGATCCTGGAGCTGCCGTACATGGAGGAGGAGCTCAGCATGTTCATCCTGTTGCCTGATGAGTCCGAAGACGGCTCCAACCCTCTGCTGAAGGTACACCACCTAGAAAAGCTGCTATAATCAATCTTTTTATATTAACAAGCTCAGATAATCCCACTGAACACTACATGTCGAGCACCAAACAGCAGACAGATAAGGGATATTATACAAGCTTTATTACATAGATTATGAACCATTGACTCTCTTGGAGAATTATAGCATCTATATAATAAATAACATGCAGAATAATGATTTGTTTTCACATTTTCCAGCCCATTTCCTACATTTTTAAAATTATATTTAATCATTCTTTTACCTCGGCAACAGCCAGGGCCAGAGGCATTATGTTTTCAGGTTGTACATGCGTACGTCACCATTCTCATGAAGGCGATATATCAGAAACGCCTTGAGGAAATTTCTTCACATTTGACACATTCACTTGGACCCATGGACAAATTGATTTGAATTTGGTGTTCAAAGGTCAAAGGTCAAGGTCACTGATGTCATAAAACACATTTTTGGCCATAACTCATGAATCCATTAACTAATTATGACACAATTTATCACAAATGTCTAACAGGATAAAATGAAGTGATGACATTTTAAATCCAAAAGGTCAAAGGTTAATTTCACTGTGACATCATAATGTTCTGTAAAAACACTTCTGACCATTATTCAACGCTGTATCTCAGGAAGGAGAGACTGTGACAATATTTCCTGCAACTAGGATGCTTGGCAGTAATTTTGTATTTGTTCTGTTGCAGCTGGAGAATGAGCTGACACAGGAGAGGCTGGATGAATGGACCAACAGGGAAAACATGGACATCTACTCAGAAGTCAACGTTCACCTGCCAAAGTTCAAGCTGGAGGAAGACTACGAGCTGAACGAGCCTCTGGCTAAACTGGGCATGACGGACGTGTTCTGCTCAGCGAAGGCCGACCTGTCTGGCATGAACGGCAAAGGTGGACTCTTCCTGTCCACGGTGGCACACAAAGCATTCGTGGAGGTGAACGAGGAGGGCACAGTGGCGGCTGCAGCCACGACTGGCATGGCACAATTCTGCATGTTCAGGGAGCCATGCTTCAAAGCAGACCACCCCTTCCTCTTCTTCATCAGACACAACACGACCAAGTCCATCCTCTTCCTCGGCAGATTCTCGTCTCCTCAGTAGACAGAACCAGCTGAGGAAGATGTTGGGCCACTTCAAATAAAAAAAACATCCTTTTAATGAGAGCTTTATCTTCTGTTCTATTTTCATCTGCTCTTGCACTGGAATTATAGATGTAGCTATTAATTAATGAAGAGGTTTGATTATTTGTGATTCAATTAGTGATTTGTAATTTGTGATCTCTGTGATGTTTACAATCACAGCCACACACACATACATACACACACAAACACACATGCACACACAAACAGGCAAGTGCTACAAACGCAGTATCCGGGCAGAAATTAATATAGCTGATTCTTATTGGCTAATTAGACTCATTAACTCTTACCCTAATTACTCTCAAGTATGAGAGCATGTATGTGTGTGTATTCATGTCACCTGTTCATCTGAGCTCTGTCTTCCAGCTGCACACAGGTGATGCTCATTAACAGCCTGATCGATGTCTATGAGGGTTACAAACACAGACACACACACACACACACACCATCACCCCCACCCTTCACCCCCTCCACCCCATTTTTTTTATCACTGAAGGTAGGCCAAATAACAGAAACACCTCTGTTATAATGTAATATACACAGTGATCAACTGAATCAACAACTGTCTAAAACTATTTTAATAATAATTTGCCAACTGAGTATATTAGTAATTATCAGGTGTAGGCTCCAAAGTGCCTAACTACAATTAATTGGTTGATTTCGTTGTTGTTCTTACCTGGGAACTGATATATCTGGTAACCTAAAGATATTCTTTAAATTTATCTTTTTATCATATATTATTATTATCACCCTATAACATGTTTTACCCCTCTCCCCTCATTTTCAAATGTAACGGAGTAACACGTTTACTCAGAAACATTTTAACCGACTTACTTCTTACTTCTTGTATCTGAGAACATTTTTACGCAGTGATTTGCTTCTACTGTCTTTTCACTAATAGTAGTGACGCCGGTCACGTGTTGACGTGCTGACATCAGTGTGGTGTCCCATCTGAGTTTCTGTTACAGGTAGCAGTTGTTTACATGCTGTTCAGATCTGCTAGTTACTTTAGCTTTGCAGTTAGCACTAGCTTCTCTCTCTCTCCCTCGCTCGCTCGGTGTGGTGTTGTTGTAACTACACTGTAGAGGATTGTGATATTTACTACATCTTCAGCGATGTCTGCTGTCTTTAGGCATCGTTCCACTCGCTAACCGGACTAAAATTTACTATAATTAATAATGATAATTTTAATGTTATTAGCTGTCATTTTTATTTTTATCATTAGGAGCACTACAGTTGCCATTACATTACTCGTGTTGTTATTGCCGTTGCTATCACTATTATTAAAATTGCTATCATTGCACGTTCTTGTTCTTTTCATCTGTGCTCTCTCTTGCTCTCTCTCTCTATCTCTCCAACCCAACCGGTCAAGGCAGATGGCCGCCCACCCTGAGTCCGGTTCTGCTCGAGGTTTCTGCCTTTTAAAAGGAAGTCTTTCCTTGCCACTGTCGCCTAGTGCTTGCTGTTGGTGGGAATTGTTGGGTCTCTGTAAATAATATTATAAAGAGAAGGTCTAGACCTGCTCTATTTGGAAAGTGCCTTGAGATAACTTATGTTGTGAATTGGCGCTATACAAATAAAAATTGACTTGACTAACTGGAGCTAACTGCGAACTCTGTCCTGCATCACCCAGTTTTGGGAGACCCTCTACCTCTCCCATTGACTGCAATACAAATTCAGGAACAGGTGTTACTGGGCAGAAATGGCCAAAGCTCATTCTGACTGGCCAAGTAAACTCATTAATTCTTAGCCTTGTAAGTCAGATATGAGTGCAACTGTAAGATAAATTAACACGGTGTATTGGCATGTATTTGCATGTACTTGTGTTTGTGTATTAATGTGTGGTTCTTTGCGTGTGACAGCTCTACTGGCACACACAACAATACACACATGCACAAACACCATCTTACTTTTTTGATATTAGGTAAAAAGAACTCGCTAGAGGTTCTGTTCTGTTCTACACACAAAAACACACACACACACACACACACACACACACACACACACACACACACACAGATATATATTGACAGAAAAACACAAACACTATCTCCACGAATTGGATTACCTTCGAAATAAAAGTCTCAACATGGTTAGACAAAATTATTGGCTCTGTTCTACAAAACCTTATGCAATTTATACTGCCAAACACAGAGGCAGACACTTTCAAGATAAGAGTCTCAAAAAGGTAAGAGGTAAGGTAGGTCTTAAAAGTTGGATCTTAGAAGCTATCATCTATATGGGGATATAGTGGTATAGCTTTATTGCAGATTTTCTTCTGTTAGGGCATGTACATGTGTGTATACATGTCTTGCTATGGTTGTGGGGACAAATTTGGGTTTGAAACCCTCCGTGTGAGGTTATTTATTCTGGCCAGTCGTGACAGCTTCAAAAGGCTTTTTGAGGGAAAACTGCAGTGACTGAGATCAGTGTCAGGATGAGTCTCTACAACATGAATGAAACTCAAAGTAACGTCCTTCGTACAGATTGAAATGAGAGGAGGAGAAGTACACGCACCAAGCAGCAGGCACATTCAAAATTTTCTCCAGGAATTTTCTAGTTATTAGTATTTATTTTAGCCATCTATCAGTTCTTATCTGGGTCCAGGCAGGCACGGACAGATAGATGAGACAACAGGCTCCTATATAGGACTCCTAGACTGAAAAATACACAGAATGACCACAAATGACACGGCTGTGGTTGGATGTAGTTTTGCCTCTTTTCTGGTCATTTTGTTTCTCTCTCAGATGGTTTTTCCTGTCTTTGTAGGGCGTATCTCCAGCAGCACGGGCGCTGTTATACAGCTGTGATTCCCACCAATGTGTTTGGTCCTCATGACAACTTCAGCATTGAGGATGGTCACGTGCTGCCAGGCCTCATCCACAAAGCTTACATCGCTCAAAGTAAGTCACATTCTCATACGTGAGTAAGTAGTAAGGCACCAAACAAATCCAATTCATTTTCAAGAGGGAAATTGAATTATTATTATTTTAAATGTTTAAATTGCATTTTTACCATTTCATGAATGACATTGACTGAAGACATTAACGGTGCTTATGTAACAGAGAGCACTGGAGTCCAAAGGACGCCATGAATCAGCCATGTTTTTCATGTTTTGAGTGGTTGCCAAGCTATACCCGTCTGTGACGTGTGGAAGCTCAGTAAATCATACGGACACACCTTTCTACACATCAAGTGTTTCAAAAGAGTGACCTCCTCTCACTCATTGCCGAGGCCCATTAAATTTACCCTACAAGCCATTTGCTAAAGTTCATTCACTGTCTAAAATCTTAGTTAGTTGAGTCATTGCTTGCGAGCAGTCCAGGTGGGTTAAATGAGAAATCTGCAACACCAGAAACCACAGGAAATACTCCAATAATGAGACAATAAGATTCCAGGCTTTGATTAAAATTTTAAAGTGATGTTTGACTGCCTGTTTTGAATTAATTGTTCCTTGAGCTTTTCCATAAAAGAATAAATCATTAAAACATAGAAATGCCTGAGGATTCATTTTCACTTGACTCAGAAGTGAAGACACACGGTGTATTTTTAATACGGCAGCTGTGAAAATGTATTTTGTTTGTGAAATCTGAAGACCAGTAAAAGTAAATTTATATTCCTGTCTTCTCTCAATTTGATTCCATTATAAACTATGAAATCCACTATATCTTTCTCTGGTGTCTGTAATAGAACTCTAAAACCTGTAGCTATGAGATCTGAGCAGACATGACATTTTGACAGAATAATTAATGTACACTGTCAGCGCTGAATTTACTACAAATGCATAGGTGGAACAATGCTCTGCCACTTTTTCCTCCAAGTGAGGAAGTCGAATATTCTCAGTTCGAATAATCCGATTGAAGTTCAAATACTTTGTAAATGTTTGCCCTGCTCTTCATTGAGATGGTTCAAAAGCAGCATGACACATCTGGCAAGATCAGCATCCAGATGCTTGACATTGGTGATTTCCATGTCTGCTAGGATGTCCCTCTTCTCACAGGGCATGAAATATGAAACAACTCTTCCACATTTACTACTTGACAGAGGTCTTCTGTCGACAATCATACCTGTGAGTTATTTGAAGAGAGCTAAATCAGATATGGCCACTCTCTTAGCAGAGCAGGGCTTTCCCTTCCACTCATTATGTTGCTTCTCCCACTGTAGAAAGTTGCAACCATTTTCTCTACAGTACCCTTGGTGTCCTTGCTTCTGTTTGTGTGCGCTCAGATGGCCAGGCAGCTTCCTCTTCTTGCTGTATGAACTATTTATAAAGTCAGTGTAACGTTTGATCCTGTGGTCAGTTATAGGTGACTAATGTATTTAAACTTGCCACTGTAGGAACAGTGGGAACTTAGGCGTCACAGGTGCCCCCCAGCACTTAAACAAATAGCACTAAAATTCAATGTTTCACAGCCCTTCATGAGATTGAGACATTGTATTTATTCAGTTCTCAATTTTGTATGATTTATTGATTTGCCTGTGCACCTGTCTACCAGGTGTGTCTTAGACAACACTTAGTTTGGTTGTTGGTTTAATTTTTTAATAATTTCATTAACCTGTGGAGAAATACCACTAATGTAATATATCTGGAAATGGATTTTGTTTGACACTGGACATGATTTATACCCCATGTCAGCATATGGTGGCACTGCAGGAAGAAGTCCACTCTGGGGAGGTCAGGGTGATGGGAATGCAGTTTATCCAACTTTAATGTGGGAGATCAGAGTTTGTGCCTTTTTAAACCATAACCACAGTCTTCCCTTAATTTTTTAAGTGCTGTCATTAAACATAAAACGGGTTTATATGTATATGTATGTATTTTCTAGTCTAAATATCTTAACATTTTAGTTTTTGATTAAAAACAAATTGAAATAAATGAAAAGGGATTAAATTATTCTCCTGCAGAATTATACACCTGACAGTGTAGAGAAAGCCAGACTACAAAGTTTGGTCTGTGGCGAGACAAAATGGTTGGGGCTCTGCAGGAGGAATATGGAGCAGACTTTGGGTATACACAATAAATCAAAATCATATCATTGCAGTAGTAAGCCACAGCTACCACAGGACTGTGCTAAAGGTTGTGTTAACGTTTTCACAGCAATGTATAGGCTGCAGTTTCTTTTCAGTCCTCAGTATAATGGGAGTTATCGCGCAGTCACGCGTCCCACCCACAGCCCACAGTCTGTTCTGTATAAATGAGACGTGCACAACTTCTACTTTCACGCACAAGAACAGTCCCGGGACTTTCACTTCCGTGGGGACTTTTTGTATTTTTTTTTTGTTCCAGTTGTTTTTGCCTCTTTTTAACTTTCGCTTTTTTTTCTCCAACACTCCAACAGAGTGTGTGTGAGCTTCAGTCACTGCGGGAGGAAGATCAGGTAAATAAGAATATGGCTGTGATAGACGCTATCTGTTACGTAGCTTATTCTGACATGATCTGATGTTATTTCACAGCAGCTAGTGCCCTGTTTAAAGTTAAAGGCGTGTGCAGGTTGATTTCCGGGTGTCCCAGTCGACCACCATCATGAACTCAGCTGTGCACGTTTCACTGAAAACGTTTGACGCCGATTTTGCTTTGAAATGCGTTAAAACAAGTGGCGAATTAAATGTTCATCTGCGTACACACCATCCAATATAACGGAACTGAAATTAATGAATGTCAAGGACTTTCGATGTAGCATTACAATGACTAGAAGATCCGTGTGACCAGAGTGTCATCAGGCTGAATTTGACATTTTGTCTTTTAGATAATAAACACAATAATCATGGGGGGAGAGCAAAGGGGAAGACACTTAACTTAAGTCAGTACACCTTAAACTTACTTCATATTCAATCTTGCTATGAGGTTCAAGTGTGTTTTAAAATAAGAAATGTAGAAGTTCTCCTTCCTACTGGTTGTTGTCCACTACTAAAGTGTGTTTAGCTTACGTTTTCCTTCACACAAACACTGTCCACTGTGAAATACAACATGGGTGTATCTGTGTTTAGATTAAAGTCTCTCTGAAATGTATGGAATTTCACCTGGCTTTTATTCATCGCAGAAAGAGCGAACATCGTCAGCCATGGCCGCCATCAGCAGCTCAAACACAGTTTTCGCCTTGGAGCTGCTCCGTACTCTGAGCCAAGCGGACCCCACTGGGAATATCTTCGTCTCTCCGCTGAGCATCAGCTCAGCTCTGGCCATGGTCTACCTGGGAGCTAGAGGAGACACTGCTGCTCAGATGGCACAGGTAAAACTGTGACTCTCTATCACATGCACCTCCTCCATGACACCACGTCATCCCCATGTACGCTCTAGCCCAGCTGTAAAAAAAAAAAAAAAAGAGGTAATAGGCATTATGAAATTCAGTTCAAGTTCAAGGGATCACGCCCAGGTGTGTATCTAGGCGCAGACTGAAAGGTGTGTCAGGAGACAGGTGTAGCCTTCTGACGACTGTACTTTGGCCTCCATAAACACTTCTGAAACAGTATATGTAGTGTTCTCTAAAAGGCAGAACACTGTCAAGTCTGGCAGTGCTACATTCAGTTGTGGTTTCACTTAATGAAACATGTTTGTCTTTTCTTTTTTTTATTTTGATTAATGACTTCTGTGTTGTAAATGTGCCATATTTATCCAAAATACATCAACAAGAAATATGCATATACAGTGGTGGCCAAAATTATTAGAACACTTGGCATATTTAAGAGGTTTCAGTTGTTTTTGTTGAATTGGCCATTAAAATATCCATAAAACGAATAAAATATCTACAAAGTCATCATCATGCTCTATAAACCATAGAATAGAGCCATCATAAGGAGATTTAGGTAATTTTCCTTACAAAAAACAAGCTAGACCTATGTCACTATCAATGTCACACAATCATGTTCCTTCACAGAAGAAGCCAAATTACTTGTGTAATCACTGTCAGGTGTGATCGTGGTTAAATTGATGGTGATGAAAGAGTCTTAGGACACAGCTTTGCTCATTAAGTGATTGGTAACATCAGGGTTTTGTCACTGAGGCCACACCACCAATTGGTATAAATTCAAAGCCTCTAGAAGTAGTCTTGAAGCACATGTTGCTCTTTGAACATGGCTAAGGTGAAGAAGGGTTCGAATAAAGGCCCTTTTTGATGGCTGGAGTTACTGCCGCATAGCCAAGGACTTCAGATGCAGTCCAAGCACTGTAAAGTACACTTTAGACCGCCATTATGCCACCAATTCACCGCAGAACCGAAAGGGGAGAGGTAGAAAAAATAAACTTCCAAACAGACAAGTGAAGCATCTCAAAATTCGGTCTTAAGGACCGAAGAAACTGCGTGACGAGATCAACACCACAATGACTAATGGTGCAACAGTGTCTTCAAGAACTGTGCGTCGGAAACTGGGAGAAGAAAGACTTGTTGGCCGAATAGCAGCAAAGAAACCATTACTGAAAGAGAAAAATAGAGTGACACACCTGAAATTTGCAAAAGAACACAAGAAATGGACAAAGGAAGATTGGTATAAAGTGTTGTGGACTGATGAGTCCAAATTTGAACAGTTTGGCAACAAGCGAAGAGTGTATGTTTGATGGAGGGAGGGGGAGAGATATAAAAATGAGTGTCTCTTGCCAACAATTAAACACGGAGGGTGTAGTATTATGGTGTGGGGTGCCATTTCAGCCTCAGGAACTGGTGACTTGATGGCATCATGGACAGAAGGAATCTGCTGGAACATTGAGAATGATGGACTGGCCTCCTCAAAGTCCAGACCTCAACCCCATCGAGCACATTTGGAGCGAGTTGGAAAATAAACTGGACAGATCTATTGTACATTCAAAGGAAAGCATTTGGGTTGAGTTGCAGAAGGCATGGGGTAACATCAGTGTTGAAGTTCTCAGGAAATATATTGACACTATGCCAGAGAGATGTGCTGCTGAAATTGCTGCAAAAGGTGGACATACCAGATATTAAAGTTAACACTGGATAAAAACAGTAGGACTCTCTTCATCTGATATTTGTTGTATTCAGAGTAACCATCTGCATGTTTCATGAACATTGTGAAGTGAAATGAAATCATGTCTTGGAGGCAAAAAAACTTAGCAATATTTTCAGATCTGTCAGGTGTTCTAATAATTTTGGCCACCATTGTATGTCCAAAAGTCTGTGAACACATCAACATTACACCTTCCTGTGATTGTTATAAACCATGGACATTTCTCATGAATGAGGTCTAACGCTGATAATGTGGTGATGAGGTCTGGCTTCCAGTTGGCGTTCCAGTTCATCCCAAAGATGCTGGATGGGTTTGAGATCAGGGGACATATTACAGAAATCCTTTCCTAAGCCCTAAGATAGGAGGAGTATAAAGATAGGATATGATTTTTCCCAATCTGGTGTTACAGAAGCAAATCCTAACTGACTTTCCTATCTTACGTCATCCTACCTTATCTCAGGCAAGAAATCCTAAATATTCAATCCAACATTGGTTATCAACTTTTATGTCTGTTACCTAGTAACCAATGCTACTTTTCTCTTCTTATCTTGCTTAGCTTTGTTTAGATTTCTCATTGAAATGTACAAAAGAAAAGGAACAAAAACAGTGATGGACACTTAACTGCCAGACAGATGAGTTAGAAGTGTTGCTAACATCTGTAGAAAAATCCAAAGATGTTCTTTTTGAGATGAGAGAGAGTGAAACTGCAACACATCGTTGGGGTCTGTCATGAGCAAGTTGTGGACTTTTCGTTTCAAAACTTATAGTACAAGTTAATGGTTTTCCTAAAGTTCCGAGAGTTTATTTAAGATTTTGGGACGTTAGGAATCTTATGTAATCCATTTTTCCTATTTGAAGTTAGGATAAGAACATTGACTCAGGAACTATTCATCTGTAATGGCTTTTTTTTCCCTAAAACAGCTCCTAACCCTAATTACCATGGTTACCAGACAGCTCAGACAGGGTCTGCAAGTTAGGGAGTTTGTGTGATGCGGCCCCAGGTCTCCGAGCAGGCCAGTCAAGTTCTTCCACACCACTCTGAGAAAACCGTTTCTTTATGTCAAAACAAACTTCTGCCACAAATTGGAAGCATACTATTGTCAGACGGTTGATTCAACAACTTTAAGGCTGTGATGAAATATGTCACCACTGCTATTTGTCCAATAACTAAAAAAAGTAGCACAAGGTCAAGTGTAGTGTATCAGTCATTTTCCACCACCTGCAACGCTTTGGTCACTTTGGTCTTTTTATGCCTCTGCGCCGACGACAGTCAGAGCACAGCAATTATGACAGAATTTCACACAAGTGGTTAATATTAATGATTCTGGATAAACAGGGGTGTAATCTGAAACTAGTCTGAGTGGCGGAGGCAGATAACCGTGAGGTGGTAATTCTAGTTTTTTAATGTTGTGTGTCACAAACTTCCACACAGGCCCTGTCATTCAGCTCAGGTGAAGGAGTCCACGCAGACTTCCAGACCCTAATCGCTGACATCAACTCACCATCTGCATCCTACATCCTGAAAACAGCCAACCGTCTTTATGGAGAGAATACGGCCAACTTCCTCACAGTGAGTTTTCACGTATCGCAGAAGACGCAGATATTTTGACTGAATCAATAACTTCATAAGACTGAACTGACTAGACGTCGTCTCTTCTCTGCAGCAATTCCTTGCAGCCACACAGAAGCACTACCAGGCCGACCTGAAGGCGGTCGACTTCATCGGTTCTCCAGAGGCGTGCAGAGGGGAGATCAACAGCTGGGTCGAGCAGCAGACAGAAAGTGAGAATCTACATCTTAATTGAAACCATACAATTCACTCCTACAGCTTGCGCAGCAATAAATCATTCCATACTGCCTTCTGTGAGTCAGTGTTCAGTGGTTGGTTGCATTGTCTGTTTCATTCCAGATAAGATTAAAGATCTTCTGAAGCCGGGAACAGTCAGCACAATGACACGACTGGCTCTGGTCAACGCTATCTACTTCAAAGGAAACTGGATGAATCGCTTTGATGAAGCAAACACCAAAGAGATGCCCTTTAAAGTCAACCAGGTGAAAACTAAGCGCACATTTAAATACAGAAAACATTGTTTGACTTGAGCAGACGTGTGCAGGAGCTGATCTGATAATAAACTAAAGATGGGTTAGGGTTAGGGTTAGTTACTTTTTTCTTTTAACTTGATCCAATCGTCTTAAATATCTGTGTTTCCTGTGTGTCAGAATGAAACCAAGCCGGTCATGATGATGTACCAGATGAAGAAGCTTCCCTACAACTACATCCCAGACCACAGTGTGCAGATCCTGGAGCTGCCGTACATGGAGGAGGAGCTCAGCATGTTCATCCTGTTGCCTGATGAGTCCGAAGACGGCTCCAACCCTCTGCTGAAGGTACACCACCTAGAAAAGCTGCTATAATCAATCTTTTTATATTAACAAGCTCAGATAATCCCACTGAACACTACATGTCGAGCACCAAACAGCAGACAGATAAAGTTAGAGACTAGCTGGTGAAGACAGGAACATCTTGGCACTAAAGAGTCAGATATTTTACTCATGAGAAAGTGGACACCAAAATGGTGTGAATACTAGATTTAGGTGTGTGACAATGCGTGTGTGCATCACAGCCAGGGCCAGAGGCATTATGTTTGCAGGTTGTATATGCGTACATCTCCATTCTCGTGAAGGCGATATATCAGAAACACCTTGAGGAAATTTCTTCAAATTTGACACATTCACTTGGACTCATGGACGAATTGATTTGAATTTGGTGTTCAAAGGTCAAAGGTCAAGGTCACTGATGTCATAAAACACATTTTTGGCCATAACTCATGAATCCATAACTCATTTCAAATCCAAAAGGTCAAAGGTCAACTTCACTGTGACATCATAATGTTCTGTAAAAACACTTCTGACCATTATTCAACGCTGTAACTCAGGAAGGAGAGACTATTTCCTGCAACTAAAATGCTTGGCAGTATTTTTAGTTTAACACGAAACTGAATTCATCAAACAATGAGTCCAGTTTAGCAAAGACGAGACCACAACAACTCTCTAACTATAGGATTGAATGAGCATCTCCCAAGCAAATGCTTACAGCATCTTAATATAAACACGAGTTTGAGAGATACAATAAAAAAGTATTTGTTCTGTTGCAGCTGGAGAATGAGCTGACACAGGAGAGGCTGGATGAATGGACCAACAGGGAAAACATGGACGTCCACTCAGAAGTCATCATTCACCTTCCAAAGTTCAAGCTGGAGGAAGACTACGAGCTGAACGAGCCTCTGGCTAAACTGGGCATGACGGACGTGTTCTGCTCAGCGAAGGCCGACCTGTCTGGCATGAACGGCAAAGGTGGACTCTTCCTGTCCACGGTGGCACACAAAGCATTCGTGGAGGTGAACGAGGAGGGCACAGAGGCGGCTGCAGCCACGGCTGGCATGGTAGCATTCTGTATGTTGAGGGAGGAACACTTCACAGCAGACCACCCCTTCCTCTTCTTCATCAGACACAACACGACCAAGTCCATCCTCTTCCTCGGCAGGTTCTCGTCTCCTCAGTAGACAGAACCAGCAGAGGAAGATGTTGGGCCACTTCAAATAAAAAAAACATCCTTTACCTTATCTTCTGTGATGTTTTGCTAATTAAACTGTATTTTTATCTGTTTTTGCGCTGGAATTATAGATGTAGCTATTAATTAATGACGAGGTTTGATTATTTGTGAATCAATTAAATTTGGAATGAGTCTAAGGGATAGGCCACTTATGTAATATTTTGCCTTTGTTAGTAAAAAATAAAGTGAATACATTTTAAAAATGGAGACAGAGTTTTCATGAGTTTCTTCAGTACACAGTTGACTTTTTCAAATGTCATTTTCAGTGTGTAAAGCACCACTAGAATCAAGATCCCACCTGGTGGAAGGAGCATATTTTTTATTTATTTATATATATATATATATATATATATATATATATATATATTTGAGCAGAACCACAGTAAGGGTGAGTGGCCATCTGCCTCAGACAGTTGGGGGGAGAGAGAGCATAATGATGAAGATGATAATTATAATTACTACAATAGATTTAGCAACAGGTGTTGAACAGGATCATGGGGGCAATAGGTGGTTTGCAGTCGCAGATCCAGACTCTGCAGCTCCAGAGGCAGGAAGACCTGGAGAGAGCACAAAACTGAGGGAGAGGGAGCGGAAAGGAAGGAGAGGCAAAAACAAACAGTTGTAACATAAACAGTTATAATGATGCAGTGGTTTTCAGAAAGTCTACTTATCTCGTCGGCAGGACAACATGACCTATACTGTATATACTGGGTTCAACTTAGGACTGAGGCTGTCCTGCCAGTGGTAGGGTGGTAACAGCTAAAAATAAGGAACTAACTGAAGGTTAAGGTGTAAAGATGAGTTTTAAGTTTGGATTTGAAGGCCTCAATGATGTCAGACAGTCTGATGTCAGCAGGGAGGTTGTTGAGCCCCACATTCTGGGAAGGGAGAGCACATTTGCTAAATGTAGACTTGCAGTATGCTTTGTGTTTTGACTAACAGAATGACTTTTTATAGATTAAAATAGTATTTTAAAAAATAAAAATATTGAAAATATATATAAGAATAGAGAAATATGTATAAATATAGAACCCAAGAAAAATTAATGGTGATGAACAAGTGATCCAGAATCTTATTGTTTTGATGATGAATCTATAAGACATTTTTTGATATGTTGCAAATCATAGGCTGCGAAAACTTTGAAATATGGAGGTAAAATATTCAACCAAAACCAACCCTGAAAAGTACAGAAAAAAAGTTCTGACACATCACTCCAGCCAAAACAAATGAAAAGTGAACAGGAAACAGCATAAACTGAGATGGTCCTGTACATGCCATTACCTCTCAGTCAAGCCTCTGGCTCTAACTCTCCTTCTGTCCACTAAGGGCCAGTGATGAATAAAAAATAATTGTCCCTAGGGTACAGTAATACAAATACTACATATCTGATCACTTTCTATTTGATAATTAAAAAAAGACAAACACATTGTTCGAGCACAAAATAATCAGTTGTAGAAGTAAAAGTCTGAACTTGTATCAATCAAAAATAATTATTAAATGTATTTTTAGGTTTAAAAACATATTTTTATCCACTCATGACAGCAACCCAATCTTCGTCCATGAACCTTTAATTTGAAGGTTATGACCGGAAGCGGAATTTAAGATTTGATGTACTTTGACAGCGGCTTGTCTCCTGTCTCTGCCTACGGTCTCTGCACTTTACAGCTACCTGGTGAGAAACATCTACTTTACATATTTCGTTAGCTCAGAGTTAACGTCACTTTACTGCCCTTAGTTAGCTACGTTAACATAACACTCACTGAAAGGAATGAAAGAGACGGCGGTTACCTGCTAGCTAACACCAACTTTGGCTAGTAGCGTTAGCTTGTGTGGCTAGCTTTGCATATCACAACATAGTGCTTTGTAGACTAGTTACCATGAAGACAAGTAGGTAACAAGTAACCTGTGGATATCGTTATTAAACTTTACCCAGAAGCAGAGGTAAGCTACAGCCAATTAGCTACAGGACGTTAGTTATTTGTCAGACTTGATATAGTTACCTAGCCAACTTCCTTTATTTGTGAAATGCTCTTTTTTCCTTCGTAATAAAATGTATTGTAATGGCTTGTAAAAAAAAATATTATACTTTCTCATTCAAGTGAATGGGAAAGTGTGTTCAACTTTTGACTGATAAACATATATGTGTGTGTGTGTGTGTGTGTGTGAGTGAGAGAGAGAGAGAGAGAGAGAGAGAGAGAGAGAGAGGAGGATAAGAGATGACGAGAGAGAGAGAGAGATATAGAGCCGATAAATGCAACGTTATTTACCTGAGCTTTCAGGCAAATGACGTGCGACGTGGCATTAAGCCGCATCACATCCACCTGTAGACGGATGTCAGTGAGTCATAACTGTTGTGTTATTAACTCGGGGTATATGCACTGTATTCAGCTTCCCTATAATAATAAGAAGAATGAAAATGATGATAATAATAATAATAATAATAATAATAATAATAATAATATAGGTTTGTTTACAAAAGTATTTTATTATAACATGAAAGTTGATGGGAAGCTCATCATCTCATAATGGACAACTCTTGATTTTAGCAAAGAACTTAAATCTACAAATTATTATTATTATTATTATTATTATTATTATTATTATTAGCCATCTATCAGTTCTTATCTGGGTCCAGGCAGGCACGGACAGATAGATGAGACAACAGGCTCCTATATAGGACTCCCAGACTGAAAAATACACAGAATGACTACAAATGACACGGCTGTGGTTAGATGTAGTTTTGCCTCTTTTCTGGTCATTTTGTTTCTCTCTCAGACGGTTTTTCCTGTCTTTGTAGTTTTCTAACTGAGCTCTGTGACTTTCAAATAAGAAATACTAACAGTCACTTCATACCCAAAAGGTCAGGAGCCCCTGGACCTGTGTCCCTTAAGACCTGTTCAGTAATCCATGGGTCAATGTTACAATACTTGATTAATTATGTTGCTTGGAATTGTTGTTTTATAAAGCTTGGAAGTACTTACAAAGCTGTGATATAAATGTCAATAAATTCACGTTTTAATAACTAATTGTAGGACTTGATGTTTGTTCTCCATCATTCGTCAACCAGTATGAATGTGTACAAGTTACCATATTCTCTGTGGTATTATTTATGGTATAATTATGGAAGAGCCTACCAGAGGAAGTGCTATATAAAGTCATCATTATTATTATCATTATGGTATCCTGTTTATTTATGTACTATGCTTATGTTCCAGTAAGCATTTTTGTGCTTTGCTTTTTCTAGATGAATGGTCAGGGCAATCACACCACTCCAATGAGGGTGTTGGTGACAGGAGGGTCTGGCTTGGTGGGCAGGGCCATACAGCATGTGGTCAAAGAGGAGAGGGGAGCCAAGGATGGGGAAGAATGGATATTCCTCTCCTCGAAAGATGCCAACCTCATGTGAGAGCTACACCTCTTCTAAATACCACCAATATGTAAACACATGTTTTGGTACTTACAAACTCAAAAACAATTCAGAGACTGTTTTCATGCAGTGTATGACCTCTCCTCAGGAACATGGAGGAGACACGGGCAGTATTTGAGAAACATCGGCCAACTCATGTCATCCATCTGGCTGCTATGGTTGGAGGGCTTTTCAAGAATATGAAGTACAACCTGGATTTTTGGGTATGAGGCAGTTGCTCTTCTGCTATCACTGCTAATAAACCAGTAAGGCTCGTGCAGCATTTTGCTGACGGTGGATTTGTGTTATGTTTATCCAATATTCTGACAGTTATTTTCTGTGTCCTCCAGAGGAACAATATCTACATCAATGACAACGTGCTGCAGGCAGCACATGAAGTGGGTGCCGTGAAGGTGGTGTCATGCCTGTCCACCTGCATCTTTCCAGATAAGACCACCTATCCTATCGACGAGACCATGGTGAGAACCTCTTAAATTCACACTTTTGCCACCATGTGTGTTGTTTTGTAAATGGCAACTAACTTCACTTTACTGTCTTTGCACCAGATCCATAATGGTCCACCTCATGAGTCAAACTTTGGCTATGCCTACGCAAAGAGAATGATTGATGTTCACAACAGGTATGTGAACTCAGTCAGTTGTTTTTTTTTTCCTGTGAAATCAATCAAATAAATCTAGCTAGTTGTCTAATCACATGAATTAGAAGTGTTTGCTGAGTTATGTTGTGTATGTTTCACAGGGCGTATCTCCAGCAGCACGGGCGCTGTTATACAGCTGTGATTCCCACCAATGTGTTTGGTCCTCATGACAACTTCAGCATTGAGGATGGTCACGTGCTGCCAGGCCTCATCCACAAAGCTTACATCGCTCAAAGTAAGTCACATTCTCATACGTGGTGGGTAAGTAGCAAGGCACCAAACAAATCCAATTAATTTTCACGAGGGAAATTGAATTATTATTATTTTAAATGTTTAAATTGCATTTTTACCATTTATGAATGACATTGACTGAAGACATTGTATTTAATGTTGATCTGGCCAGTGTTGACACTAATTTGATTCCATGTGTTGGGCTGGTGTATCCCTGTGAGCTGGCAATAAAGAATAATGATTAACTTTTTTTCTGCCTCTGCTTGTTGTTTTGTTGGTTAGAGGAAGGGAAGCCCTTGGTGGTCTGGGGCTCTGGCACTCCCAGAAGGCAGTTCATTTACTCTTTGGACTTGGCTCGTCTCTTCCTGTGGGTGCTGAGAGAGTATCCAGAGGTTGATCCAATCATTCTCTCTGGTGAGTCATCATACGATATTGATACTGAAGCTGAATTTTTATCAAGTGTAATCACTGTGTTGTGTCTGTCGGTTGCAGTTGGAGAGGAAGACGAAGTGTCCATCAAAGAAGCAGCAGAAGCAGTTGTCCAGGCTTTGGGCTTCAATGGAGAAGTTGTAGTATCCTTTTAATCATGCAAGTTCACTGATAACTGAAGTGTTTGAGCTCTTTTACCTGGATCAGGGATTTTTACATCAGTCTATGCTCCAGATTTCAGGCTGGTCTGGTTTTCTACTCAGCAAAGTTTTTCAAATAACTCTGTAAACTGGACAGGAAAATCTGTCCAAAGCACATTGTGTGAATTTTAAGATTGATTTACTGGCTTCCAGGCAGCCAATGTTTTCAGCCAATTTCAGTCTGCTATAAAACCCATCTGCTGAGACTTGACAAATTATCTACGGGTAATAAAAGTATCAAATATGTGACATAAAATTGTCATAATCAAACAAATACATAAATTATGGAATTTTTGACATAAAATGCGAAGGCTGTGGGTTGTACACTGTGACTGATTACCATCTCAACAAAGCTACAAATCTGAATTTGATTTCTAGACACCACTGAAATGATTTATAAGTAATAGCTGCCTCAAAGGTAAGAAATCTCAAGACTTTTTTTTTTTTTTCCATGGAAAATGGTTGGCACTGTTAAACTATGCACTTATTATAGTTTCTGGTGGTTTCCTTGACCTCAGACCTGTAGTATGATACCAGTAAAGCAGATGGCCAATTCAAAAAGACGGCCAGCAATGCAAAGCTGTGCCACTACCTGCCAGACTTCACCTTCACGCCCTTCAAACAAGGTGGGACTAGCTCATTAAATTCCTGCGTGTCCAGCTGTTTGGATGAGGATTTTTTTAATGTAAATGACAGGATATATGTTTTGTGATTACATCTGTCATTTGTCTTCACTGATTCATCTTGTTCTCACTTACAGCTTTAAAGGAAACCTGTGATTGGTTTGTTGCCAATTATGACACCGCACGCAAGTGAAAACGCACAACTCACTGCTTCAAGTCGGCACAAAGTCTACTGATGGAAGAGAAGATGAATAGGGGAGATCATGGTGATGCCAGAGAGAGAGTGGGCGAGAGTGGGCTAGAAGAAAACAGGGTGTTCTGTTACTCCGGTCTTTGCACTCAGTGAGCTGGACTTGGTGTCGCACCTTAAACCCATGTCTGCAGCACCATACCGTTTTATGTTGCTGCAGACTTTTTTCTCTTTAGGTATAATAAGCATTTTCCTGTACTTGTAGGCATCATATTCTACTACCTGTATGTAGAATTTCCAGAGTCTTATACACTATGGTAGTGTTAATCATTTTGTTAATTGGCTGCTTCAATCTTGGAATCCAGGTGCTGGTGCTAATTTCAGTAACTGTCTAATTTAGTGTAAACCTTTTTCAGCAATACAAATTGTATTACTGAATTACTTTTATTATTGAGGGGTTTTGCATTTTGGAAGTTAAACGACTCTGCCTTGATTCACTTTATTTAAATGTCCACGATGGCGGTTATGGTGTGTGCTGTTTAATTGGTGACTAGGTTTTTTTATTCAGTATGCTGGCACTGAACGAAATAAATATTTTATACCGTTTTTGAGATATTGTAGGTTTTCATGTTTCGCAGGAAGATAAAATCTAAAGACAACTTCATAATTGAATTCAGCTTTTGGAACTTGTACAGACAGATTCACAGGTAAAGAAATAATTTATTAACTTAAAATGAACATTTAAGACATGGAAATAAGAATATAAAAGTACAATTTAAAAAATCTGCAAGCACAGCGCCTGTTTAGCAAAGCAGACAGAGCTTAACAACAAAGACACAGTAACAGTTCACTTTTGCATAAAAGTCTCTAAAACAAAGAAAACAGTTAAACGAGCTGAGAAGGGAAGCTGAGCATTTTCAGGAATGAATGTAGGAGGTGTGCCCCCCTTCGTGGACTCTGCAGTACTCCTGTCCCGGCACGGCTCTCTTCTTACAGGCCTTCCTTGTTTTTGTGATTCCGTTACACAGCTGACGTCCTGACAGGGAGCTGCCGCAGGAAAAATGAACAGAAAAAGAAGAAATTCATGATCAGTTTATTGTGAAGAACCAATTCAGAAAAAAAAGTAATGAAAAACTTGACTTAATATCTTAAGTTTATCTGAAGACTGAAGTGTAAAAACACTGACCTGTTACTAACTAGTGATGGGGTAGGACTCGCACTTCTTGAGTCATTCATTAAATCACGGGAGTCGTTCACTGCATCAAAAACTCCTCCCAGGTTTCTGGGCGGTATATCATCAGTCAGAGCCTAAAAAATTAAAAACCACAAGATTTGCAATCACGTGTATGAATGATTCATTTTAAGAGTTTCCTGTGACATTCACTGATTTGCTCACCAATGACAGAATTGGCTGTGGTATGAGCCTTGGGGTGGAGTGACTGGGTGTGCCAATTACTGGCATGAACCTGGACTCTGGTATCGGCTTCCTGTGAAGGGGAGACACTGCTGATATGCCGAGGTCGCCTGAATACAGAGACATGAATGAGAACAATCAGTAAAACACCAATGGAGTTATTTCTACAACATTTCACCGCTAAGGTACAATATATTATGTATATAAGTCACACCTGATATGAAGCTTTCCTGATTCAGCAGGTCATCCTGCTCCATGAAGCCATCTTTTTCATCTCTGAGGATAAAAGAACAGACTGCATCAAATAGCCCAACTACAAAGCATGAACATATTTTCTCAATCATTTAAAAGAATAATAATTACTTGATCCACAGCTTCACTATAATCAATCTTTAGTTCATTTGCTATAGACAACTATACCAAACTTTCAGCTGCTAAAATTTCAGTCCTGTTGAGGCATCACTTGTTTAGTCGATCAACAAAATTAATTGGATAAATTTTAAGTAAAAAAAACAAACAAAAAACAAGCATTTGCTGGTACTTGCATATTCAATAATGGACTGTTGGTTGCACAAGATAAGACATTTTGAAGACGCCACCTGGGGTTCTGGACTGAAATTACACCAGGCATTTTTTAACAATTTTCAGAAATTTTAAAGACATAACAACCAGTGAAAGAAGGTTTCATGTCAGGTTTAATGAAAATAGTCATCAGTTGCAGCTTTTTCTGCAGACTTACTTCTGTGGTGTAGAGGATGGTGGATATGAGTGGCAGGATGAAACATGCTGCTTCTGCGGCTCCACGATGTCACATGGAGCCGGAGGCAGCGGGAGTGGGACGGCTGGCTTTCCTCTGATCTTGAAACACGCCCACAACTGATTCACAAACCAGTGACCTGCACATATGAAAGAAAACACTGTGACCGATGCATGAGAATAACGGTGGCATCCTATTTGCCTTGTGAGCAGCTTTATGTCCGTACCCAGAGACAGAGTGAGCAGCAGCAGGCTGAGGCTGCAGAGATCCAGCACTGGCAGCTGGTTGACCTCGGCCACTGCATTGAGAGGCACGGTGAGCAGCAGCATCGCTCGAGAGAAACCTGGACAACGCAGGAACGTCAGCAGCACTGCACACAGCACGAAGTAGCCAGTATGTGCAATACACGTCCACATGGCCGACAGACTCAAACCTGTAAGCACAAGAAGTAACGGACAGTCACTGACCCATGATGAGGAATAGACAATCTTTTCAGGATGTCTCACTGATGAGGTGAAGGATACTGACTGTTGAGTCAATTACCATAATATTTTCACCTGTGTTTATGAGCAATGAAACTAAATTTTTATGATATGCAAAAGTCATATTGTGACTACTTTGGCAGATACACAGGTTGTGATGTGAGGATTTCAGTTGGAATGGAAAGTTTTTCATTTTCAGTGAAAAAAAAATATGAACATGATAATGACGTAATTTTTTGAGTCTTATACCAAACAATTACAAGTGGATAAAATTTGGATATTGTACTCGGCCATATTGCAATCTCGATAATCAGGATACTAGTTTAAAATTAAATTCATTCACTTTTTTTTTTTTTTT